ATACATACATACATACATACATACATACATACATACATACATACATATAAAAATTCCCATAATCTCAGTACTAATTTAAGGCAGTACTTAATTAAATGTTTGTGTCAATATTTGCACCATTCTTTTTATTAAAAAAAAGAATAAAATTTAAAAGATAAATATCCTTCTTGTTTGCTTTGTGGTCCAATGGTGGAAAGGGAACTATTGCAGCTGTGCAAACCATTTGGAATGATGCTTTGCTGCTCAGAGTCTCGAGGTACCTGTGACTCTTGAAGGCTTTGTGTGGCCATTTCGGGGCCTTTCCTCAGTGACAGAGAAGGCATTTCCACTGGGATAGTTGATGAAATGAATCATTTTGCCTCAGTGTTCCAAGCAGAGGATTTGGAGGATCACTTTGTGTAGCTGTCCTGCCAATAGCTTACAATTTTTTTTACTCATCTCTCCTTGGGACTTTGTAATCCTAACCTAGATCCTAGCGTAAATCTTGAGATACTGTGTCATACTGAAGAAGGAATTCTGGTGCAGGCTATTGGTATTGCTGTAAAATTTGTTAATTAACATACTGAAACTTTACCCAATTGCTGTTAGTCCTTTTTAATATTACTTAAATTTATTTCTTTGACAATCCATTGTTAAAGGATTTTCAAACATCCCTTGATCTAGGTTTGGGAAAGAAGAGGATAAGCTGTTTTTTTTCCTGGCATCATCAACAGAACAGGGAGGAACCATGTCTGCCTCAGCCCTACTCAGATCTGGGGATATTTCATCCCTGACTTTGGATGGGGTTTCACTTTCCCATTCAAGAGTGTTGTGCAATCTAGGTATCTTCCTGGACTCACAGCTGACAGGTGGCAGCTGTGGCTAGGAAGGCCTTTGCACAACTCCACCTAATGCACCATTTATTTCCTTTCCTAGATCAGGGGACCCTTTAGACCCTCACCTCACAGCTTGACTACTGCAACATGCTCTACATGGGGCTGCCCTTGAAGGCTACCTGGAAGATTCAACTGGTCCAGAATGCAGTGGTTTGGGCAGTGATGGGCATGCGTCAGTATGTCTATGTAACACCTCTGCTTTGCGAGCTGCACTGGTTGCCAGTTTGATTCTGCGTGTGATTCAAGGTGCTTGTTGTTACCTATAAAGCCCTGCATGGAATAGGGCCTGGCTACTTGAGTGACCGCCTGTCTCCCATAGTATTTGGCTGGCTGATTTAACCTGGCAGGATTGCACTGTCCCGGTTCCTTTGTTTAAACTATGGTATCTTTCAGGACCCTGGAAGTGTGCCTTCTCTGTAGCAGCCTCTGTCCTCTGGAATGAGGTCCCCCCAGAGATCTAGATGCTCCCCCATTAGTGTTTTGAAGGATTTAAAGACCTGGCTTTTCACCCAGGCCTTTGGTGAGAATGAGTGAAGCCCCTCCCACCTTGTATTGTATGGGTTCATTTTTTCATTCCTATCTTTTTTGCCATCCTTGCCCTGTTTTGTTCTTCATTTTTGTCTATTACTATATTTTGTCTTCTTTTTAATGTTTTTGTCTGTGAACTGCACAAAGTCATTGGAAATTGGGCAGCATATAGATTTAAAAAAATAAAATAAATACAAATATTTTCCTAGTTCCAGGGATAGAAATTATGTTGAATATTTTCTAACATTTTTAGATTAACAGTATATACATTGAGATAGCATTGTACTCAATAAAATAATTAACAAAATTTACTAACTTCCAGCATAATCCTCTGTATATTTTCCTAGAAGTAAATCAAACTGTGTTCAGTAGAGATTATTATTTGGTGAGAGTCTAGAGGGTTGTATTATTAAAGAACAATGTGTAAAACAGAATTATAAATTAAAACAATGGGCAGAGTTTATGTCCAACTGTTAATTTATCAGATAGTTCCAAGCTTTTTGTTTAAAAACTAAAGGGAAGGGAAAATGTTCTTTCACTAATGCTTATCATTGGTATTAAGCAAATAATTCAACAACACATTTTTTATGGCAGTTTGCAACTTGCTGTAGAGTTGATACTACTGGAGCAGTATATGAACCCTGACAGTAAATAAATAATTAAGCAAATTATCAAACTTCAGATACTTTATGCAATTCCAAAAAACGTTCACTCTATTTAAAATAGAAGAGTAAGTTTACTAACATTTTCCCTGTCTCCAGGTGCTAAGTTGTAAAAGTAAAATAAAAAATAAAAAATTCTATAATTGCATCTTAATAATATTTACAGAAATTATTAATAGGAGTTTTAAAGGAAAATCAAATTCTGGGTAATTTTGATTATTTAATATTCATGCAAAATAGTCCTTTGTATATACTATGAGAAAGAATACAAAATATTCTTCTTTATCTTCTACATTAAGGGATACATGGAGCTAATCTGCTTAATTTCACTGGGTTGGATCCTAAGAAGCATATCTGGAATCCAACTTGGGGAAAGCGGAGGCCTTGTAACCTCTGTCCATAGAGCCCTCAAGCCCTCAGTATACTCAAAGTCACACAAATGTTTGGAGCCCCTTCAAAACTGATCCTTCTGCAAAGCAGGAGCATCAGAGGATGGGTAAGGATAGGAACCTGTCCAGAAACACACAGAGCTGTGATGTTAATTAAAGTCAAGTTTATTAGTATGCATAAACTAATACAATAAATCATTAGTGCTGTTTCTGGTCATGTGCAACATCTTGTACTTATGCTAGGTGAGTGCACATGTGAACGCTTAAATTAAAGCCTAAGTTTACAAAAATAGGCAACATATATTTATCAATCCCCTTTTTAAAAGCTCCTTAAAGTTGCAAACAGAAGACAAGCTTTCCTCCCTTCTCCCACAGAGAATCAAATTACAGGCTTTTGCTACATCCTTTTTAGCTAGCTTGCTTTGCTCTTCTGGGAGAAAAGCCTTGAACTACCCAAAGGGCAGGGCAGGGAAGAAGGAGAAAAAGCTCAAGGTTCCTTTCTGTCCCAGACTTTGAGAAAAGCCGGCACCTGAATCACCCCTTTCACTCTTGTAATGGTTTTCAGTCCAGGGCTGCTTTGTACATGGTTTGCTTCGCCAACACTGCTTCAGTTACTTATCCAGACAATACCTTGTCTCTTAAAACCTTTGTCTGTCTGCTGCAGATTTTCCCTGATCCTATTCCCACTCTGTCGCCATAAATCTACTTGATACTCTACTTGCCTAGTCACTCTGCTCACCTACAGCGTCTCCTGTAGACCCTGAAAGAAAAACTCTTCCTGTCTATCTACTCTGGCTTTTATATCTACTCTGGCTTTTATATAGCCTATTTCAAAAAGCATACATGCCAGATTACAGACACTCTTCTAAATGTCCAAGGGCTTTTAGATGCATGCCTGTGAAATCACCAAGAAAACAATCCTTTGACATTTACACTGTTTGTATTATAGCAGCTTATCCTGCCATAGGGAGAATTGGCTAAGACTGATCCAAAACTTACTGCACTAGTACAACCAGGCTGGGGTAAACTTGTGATACTAAAACTGTCAGTGGAAAGATTTGATTAATTTCCACTAGGAATAGGATTCATGTCATGAGTTCTAGAAGATTCACATTTTGCTTCTACTTCAATTCTGGTTCAACTCATATTTCTCATAAGTTTCAATTATAAATATTAGATTTTTTCAATTTAAAAACTGATGAAGCAGTTAGTATTTTATCAGACTTCTGAATTTTTCTTCTCAGCT